ATTAAAGCGTTTTTTACTCTCATCCAGTTAAAAAAAGAAATAAGCGTGGCCCCTCCACATCAACCCGCTGTCACAGGGTGGATGGCCCCTGTGACTGAAGTAGGTCCAGCACACCTGTGCCAGAGCAGGTGTAACCCATTGCATTAATTAATGGGATGGGACTTTTTCTGGGCTATAAAGGGTCAAAGGGAGTTTCAGTGAGAACAAATCTGGAAGGGAACAGGGATACTGTGAGAAAGAACTCGCTCAGGTAGAATGAGCCACAGAGAGGCAGGAACCAGGACTGCCAGAGTCCTCTGGGAGAGCTGACAGGGAGAGCTCAAGTTGTGAAGTGTGAGCTGGGGACCTGTTGTTTGTTTGTTAAGATAAATAATAAAACTGCATCAAAGAGAGCATGGGTATAGCAATGAGTAATTTGGCAGCTGGGGAGAAGCCCTGCCTTATCACATGCATTAATCTTAACTTGTTTGATGCTGCTGCGGATTCAGATTGATCATCCTAGTGGACTGTAGCCTTCATGCCATTATGAAAGGATTGACTCAAACTAAAGATGGGGCGGCAGGGAGAGTCAATTCTCCCTAGCAACTGAAAAATGCCCTTTATGCTGATCAGGTCAAAAGCCTTTGTAAGATCTAGGGCAGTCATATAGAGAAGTCTTCCTTGTTCTCGACATTTTTCTAGCAGTTGCCTTAGCATGTCAGCTGCACTGACTCTTTGGAAATACACATTCAGTAAGAACTTGTAATCCGCTGAAAATTTACTGGCCGCCGCTTCCCGCAGCTCCCATTGGCCGGGAACAGCGAACCGTGGCCACTGGGAGCTGCGGGAGGCCATACAAATGTAAACAAACTGTGTGGCAGCCCGCCAGTGGATATTTCTGATGGGCTGCAGGTTGCCCACCACTGGTTTAGGTTGTTTAAGTGCCTGAATTCTGCATTTACATACTTCAATGTTTATATTTCTTAAGGGTAACCATAACTCAATTTCCTGGGTTTTAATGCTTGTTTTGGGTATAACCACAACCTTATAAAGTACTATTTTGTTTTACCCTATATTACTGATATGTACTTTCTAACTTACCTCCTTCCTAGTTTATTTTTGGCCTGGGAATACTGTATTTATATAACATTTGAAATCTCACATATTAAAGTGTTTTTAAAAATCTGCCTAAACACATCAAAATGCCTGGCAAAAACTTAAAAGACCAACTCTGAATCAGGATCAAACATTGCCCTAAATATTTTACTACACTGGCAGCATACATTCAGTTGTGCTTCCATATCACAGAAAAAATTATAAGAACAAAAAAAAAAGCTTTGTTTGGCAAAATGCCCCCCAAAAGTGATTCAGACCCAAAATTCATGAATTCTGCATGGAAAGACAAATAGTTTAAATTG